AAATGAGTACCTAGGGGGCCTCCCTGGTGGCACAAGGGGTTAAAGCACAGAGGCTGCTGCAGCGTGAGTACAATCCCCAGTCAGGGAGCTGACTCACATGGCATGGCAGACCTCTCCTGACCCACCCACTGCTCCCCTCAGCAGTGTACTTTGTCAGGCTGCCTGTTCTGCTCCCCACTCTCTCTCTGGTAAATCCACTCACTGCCCCTGCACCTCTGGCCTGCACCCTAGTTCTTCTATGCATAAATAAAAATCTTAAAAAAAATAAAAATAATACTTACAATAAAATATTTTGAGAGAGAGCTACCAAGTTCACATCTATGTGGTTATTAGTTACCGTTGTTAGTATCTTTCTGTGCCTAATATATACATTAGACTATCATCGGTATGCATGCTTAGGAAAAGCAGTATGTATTGGATTCTGTACTCTCTGCAGTTTCAGGCCTCCACTGGGGGCCATAGAACATATTCCCTGTGAGTAAGAGGGGCGGCTATTCTGTGTATTTTCTTCTTTTTACTTATCCCCACTCCCTGGCACATGTAGCTAGTGCACGTTGCTCTGCCTTCACCTCGAGAATCTGCAGCTCTTCCTCCCCTGCTCTCCCCTGGTAGAGCCTTTCCAATCAAATTCACAAGACTTAAGTGCTGAGGATCAAGCACCAGGAATTGGGTTTAGGCACCAGTTTCCATCACCACAAACGGTTTCCCTAATCCCCAATCAGAAAATAGTCATTTTGAAGGCCCAGGACAGCACGCTGCAGGGATTGTGGGGCTTTGAAAGGAGCCTGACTTGAATAACTACAGACTATCCGTGCCAAAGAATTCTAGGGAATTTTCTTAGCACATGAAGAGTCATCCTCAGAGTTGAGGGGATGGTCTTTAATTTGTCCATCTCCTCCTTAAGTTTGCAGTGTGGTTCTGTGGAGGAATTCAGTGTGGAATCTTAGCAGCAGCCCCTGGAACACCCTGTATTTCGTTTGTCCTCTCATCTTTCACAAGAAGTCTGAAAAGTTGTCTCTTTGATACCCATATTTACCCTGTAATAATTTCATCTAAATGACAACAGAACTAAGAAATTGGTAACTGGGGTCCGTGAGAATATACGAAATAGGCCAGTACAAAGATGGAAAAGAAATCTCTAAGATTGCCTCTTGGAGGAGTTCTTTTCATTATCTGAAAAAGGATTCATTTCCACCTAGTTTTCCTTTGTTGTGTAACCAGAACTTCACAAGTTTCTTCAGTTTCTGTTTCTGGTTGTGGGCAGAAAACATTCCAAGCCTTCTGATCTAAAAACAAGTTAGGGCGGTAAGTTAGTTTTTAAAAGACTTTTCATTCATGAGCCACAAGGGCGACCACTAAGAGAAGAACCCTAAGTTCTTTCTCTTAAGGGAGAAAAACATTTTTCTATATGGAAACAGTTCTTTCTATAGTCTTGAGAGAAGTAAATACATTAAACCTGAGTTGTTTTTTTTTAAGACTACACACACACGCACACACATACACACACACACACATATATAAGGTTAGGTTACAAGGAAAATGAAGGGAGAAGACACTCATGCAGACACAAGTGGTTAAAAGAGCTGCCAGACTATATTTTTTCAAGAGCCATTTTAGGTTAACAACAAAATTGAGAAGAACATACAGAGTCCCATGCACCCTCCCTCCACGACATATAAAGCCTCGCTCGCGATCACCCTCCCCCAGCGTGGTGCATTTGTTATCATGAGAAACCTAGATTTACACGTCAAAACCACCCAACGTTGATAGTTTTTCTCTGAGAGCTCATTCTTGGTGTTGTACATTGTCGTCAGAGGGTTTGGACAAATGTCTAATGACCTATCCATCACCATTATGTTGTAGACAGTATTGCCACAGCCCTCGAATCCTCTGCTCTGCTGTCCATCTCTCCTTGCACAACCCCTGGCAGCTGCTCAGTTCCACTTCTCCATAGTTGTGCTTTCTCCAGAATATCGTATAGTTGGAATCATACAGCATGGAGCGTTTCCAGATGGATGGCTTTCACTAGTCACATATATTTAAGATTCCTCTGTTTGTTTGTTTGTTTGTTTTTTTTTTTGTGGCTTGATACTTCACTTATTTTTGTCTAGTTTTATTATAATTATAATAATTTATTTTTACATCATTTTGTGCCTTTTTCCATCTCAGTTGTAATCCCCGTGGGCTTCCCGTGCACTCCCCCCACCCATTTTTGATCCCATTCCCTGCTCCACCCCCGTAAAATGTCTCTGGTATATAGTTGTTCATTATTATTTTCCCGCTGGTCCTTTATGCTCCTGCTATGAGTGAAACCATCTGGTATTTTCCTTTTTATTTCTTAGCCCACTTATTTTTAGTGCTAAGTAATATGCTATTGTCTGGATGCACCAATTTATTCATTAGTTTACTTACTGAAGGACATTTTGGTTGCTTTCAAGCTTTTCCAATTATGAATATAGCTGCTATAAATATTTGTGTGCAGGTTTTGTGTGGACATGTTTCAGTTCCTTTGGGTATATACCAAGCAGAGCGATTGCTGGATAACGTTTGCTTTTGCAAGAAATTGCCAAACTGTCTTCCAAAGTGACTGTATCACTTGGCATTTCCACCAGCAGTGAATGAGAATTCCTGTTGTTCTACGTCCTTGCCAGCATTTGGTGTTGTCAGTGTTCTGGAGTTTAGCCATCCGAATAGGTGTGTAGTAGTATCTTCTTATTTTCATTTGCATTTCCCTGATGACACCTGATATGGAGAATCTCTTCCCATGTTTATTTTCCAAACTGATATCTTTGCGGGCGTGTCTTTGGCTTATTTTCTTAGTTGGGTTATTTTTTTTTTCTCATTGTGGAATTTTAAGAATTTTTGTATATTTTAGTGAGCAGTCTTTTATCAGATCTGCCTTTCATAAATATTTTCTCCTAGTCTACAATTTTTTTTTCTGTTTCTCTTGACATTGACTTTCAAGGACAATTTTTAATTTTAGTGAAGTCTGTTATCAATTATTTCATTCATGAATTATGCCTTTGTATGTAAAAAATCATCACCACCATCCCCAAGGTTATCTAAGTTTTCTCCTGTTGTCTTCAAGCAGTTCTTTACTTTTGATTTTGCATTTATGTCTAATACTTTGTTTGGTGAAGATTATAAGTTCTGTAAGTAGCTTCATTTTTTCATGTAGATGTCCAGTTGTTCCAGAACCATTTGTTGAAAGGCTATCTTTGTTTGCTTTGTTTGGGTCACCTTCCTGGTAGGGCATTGAACTCATGCTGTATTGTCTGTTCTTTGTCAACAGTCCAGTGACTGACTTATGGGAATTGATCTGAATTTTATAAAACCCCATTTGTAGCAGAATCCCCCTTAGAGTTGCTATCAAATGCTGATTTGTAGGCCCTGAGCTAAACCTAGGTCAGATTCTCTTAGAGAAGTTTTGAGGAAGCTGTTTTTTCAATTACTGCAAGTGACTCTGAGGTAACAGGGTCCTGGGACTCTTTAGTATCATCTCAGTCGATTGTTTACAATCACCTTCCTTTGCTGCAGAACTTTTGCTCAACTTCCATTGTACAAGCTGATATAAGGGTTGACTCTGTGTCTTCTGCCAGTTATACAAAACAAAGTCCTTTGGTAGCCTTGTTGGAAATGTAATGAACACATTTTCTCTTTCTGTACTAATTGCTGATGACCACAGGGACCAGTGCAGGGAGGTGTGCGTGGAAGTCTCCAAAACAGGAAACAAGAGAGCAGCTGTGTGGGTTCTGGAAGGCATTTAAAGTCGCATGGTGGAGTAAAACCTGGAAAGCTGCTGTGTTCTCGAACAGTGATTTGACAGTGATTGAGGGTACTAGTAATGATGAGACAGGTAAGGCTGGAGAATATAAGAAAGCTGAAGTGATGAGGCATGAAACTGGGTAAGGGCAATGGGACTATCATAGGAGAGAATCCGAGAAGCTTTGCAAAGGGAGAGATAACAAAATTTGGTGATAGAATATGGGGAATGGAGGGTAGAAAGGTGTTTTTTTTAATGATTTATTTATTTATGCATTCAGAACTGGGGTACAGGCCAGAGGTGCAGGGGGCAGTGAAAGGATTCACCAGAGACACAGTGGGGAACAGAACAGACAGATCAATGAAGTACACTGCTGGAGGGAACAGTGGGCAGGTCAGGAGAGGTTTGCCGTGTCACGTGGGTCACCTTCCTGGTAGGGCATTGAACTCATGCTGCAGTAGCTTCAGGCAGCTTCAAAGGGCTGTGCCTTAACTTGTTGTGCCACCAGGGAGGGTCCTGAAAGGTGATTTTTAAATGTTCTTATGAGGAGCCCAGAGAAAATGAGCTCTGACCAAAAGCAATTGGGAAATTAGAAGAAATGCAGTTCGGTAGAGAAAGTGGGGCACAGATATTCAATGCAGAATTTGAGGTAATAGGGCAACACTCAAGTGGAGCAATTAGAAATCTGGGAACTCCCTCCAAGGTGAGAGGTCAGGACTAGAAATCCCCAGTATAGACATTCTAGTTGGGGGTAAAAGTGATCAATTGGGGTTGAGTGCATGAGGGAGTAAGAAATAGAGGGGATTGTGCAGAGGACGGAGGCCTGGATATGAACCTTCTGAGAAGAGAAGGGAGGGAGGAACATGTCAAGAACACAAAGTAGGGGCAGGCAGAGGCACCCAAGGAGAGCCTTGGAATTCAGCAAATGCTTCCATCTTCAAGAAGCATAGCTTCTGCTGCCACCACACAACACTTTATGTAGGAGAAAAAGAGTGAGGACTCCTGCAAGCTCCGCTGCTATTGAGAGTAGCGATAATCATCAAAAAGGAACATTCTTATCTTTCCACAGTATGCAGTAGAGTCAAATTGTAAAATAAGATTTTTTAAAATCTACTTTGCTTTATTACAGATACTGCATTTTCATAGACATCTCTAGTCATCAAACAACAAAAAGCCTGCAACTGTTTCTTGCATACCTTGTTAGAAATAATGTAGGTTTTCTCATTTTATCTTGTAGGCACAGGAGCCTGGGGAATGTTCTTCAGTGTGAAAACATCTTTAGAGAAGGTCAACACCTGGGCTGTTCCTTTGCTCTGACTAAAGGGCCACAGTCCAGTTTAGAACAGCACAGTGTCCAAATAATGGTCCGGGATGATGCAGGGAAGATCAGACCATCCTACAGGATCATGCCTTTAACATCTCATGGTACGTTTTACATCTCCTCTATGATGTAGACAAAAGTATTGACTTGTGAATAACCAATACAATTCATTAAAGGTACTTTTGGTGTTAAGAGCATAGCAGAAAAAGGAATTATGTTCTCATGTTCCACTTTGACAGATCCTTTTTTTTAATGAAGTGAGCCTGGAATCTTAAATAATTATTGAGCACATGAGCTAAATGCTTTATTCTTCTTGACTTATGAGTAAGCTGAGACTCTAGAAAGCAGTTAGTTATAGAAGTAAGAACTCTTAAGATTGATTTTATTTTACTTGTGATGCCTGAACAGATGATGCTGCTGAACAAACATGATTGATCCTGAGTGGTCTCTCTCTTCATTAGGAAAAGCATAGACAGGAGGTGTTGGGGTTGGGGGTGTTATTGGAAGTATGGAATGTTCTGACTGGCATGGGCACTGATCTGTCACAACAGTCAGCATAGCCAAGTGGAACTCTTGACTTAGAAAGAGCCCTTAAACTGAAAACAAAATATCTACTTGAAGTCCTGATTTCTTTTGAGAGGCATGTAAACTTAAAGACTTTAAGCATTTCCTTATCTGTAAAATAGGGAACTTAGTCCCTCTGTACCTCAAAGGATTGTCATCAGGTCTGGATGTATAAAATAAAAGCATTTTGTAAGTGTCTAAAGTAGACTACAACAAACATCATATTTATTTGTTGAAATAATCTAGTGGAGAGTTCAGATTCTGGCTAAGTGGTATATAGACAATTTATAGGCTGACAACTATGAATTGACAAAGGTCCCCATGTTTGCAAATGGAACTCTGTGTCACATTCCTTTCCAGTAGTTATGGAAGCACATGTTGATAGTGAGCCAAAGGCAGTTTGATTGGTAAGCCAGGGGAGTGAGGTCGTGGCAGCTTTCCCAATAGGGGGATCTGAAGCAAAGTCCCCCTCTGTCTTCCTCCTTACCTGGCCGATTGTCTTCAGTGGACCCTTTAAAGCTCATTTTGCTATTCCTGGATATTAATGGCAACATGAAAGGAGATTATTCTTCAAGTCATTTTCTTCTAATTATTCACTGTCTTCTGTTGCTCAGTGTTAAGCACAGCTGACTCCTGAAAAACTAAATTGACTAGGCTAATTTTTTTGATGTTTTTTAAATTGTGGTTATAACCATGTCACATTAAATGCACGTGCTTAACCATTTTTATGTGTATGGTTCAGTCAGGTATATTTACATTGTTGTGCAACATATCTCTAGACCTTTGTCATCTTGTAAAACTGAAGCTGTGCCCATTAATCATTAACTCCACCTCCACCTTCCCCCAGCCCTTAGTAACTATCTTTCTACTTTCTGTTTCTGAGATTTAACTGCTGTAGATGCAGCTGATGAGTGGAATCCTGCAGCTTTTGTCCATCTGGGGCCGGTTTATTTATTCACTTAGCATAATGTCCCTGGGGTTTGTCCATGTTGTATGCTGTGGCAGAGAGCAGGCTCATGTTTTCACGTATGTGACACAAGGGCAGGACAGCTGGGAAAACCCCTGTACTGGGTGCCCCAGTTTGCCCATCAGGTGGAAGCCTATCTTGTACTCAAGCGCTTCTTTCCTTTATTTTCTACATTGCAGCTGGGTGTCCTGATTGTACCCGGCCATTTCTAAGCAGGGGCAGGCCCGAGTTCATGTCAGCATCCAAAACATCTTCCGTGGGTCCATAATACTAGGCAGTTTAAAATAAGCTTCCTTTGTTAACCGAGACTATTTAAAATTCTAGAACTTTGTGTCTGATCACGTATGGCCATTAGAAGCATCAGCCCTATTTTGACTTAACTTTGTGACTTTCATTATCCCTGCCTGTGTTAAGTATTTCATCAAAATTAACACTGCAAGCTGATCTGTATTTTCTGTTTCTATCTTTTAGTGAAACCTGACCCTCCACATATCAAAAAGCTCTTCTTCCATAATGGAGATTTATATGTGCAATGGAAGAATCCAAAGAATTTTTTAAGCAGATGTTTATTTTATGAAGTAGAAGTCAATAACAGCCAAACAGACATGCATCATACTTTCTACGTAAGTTTTTAAGAAAGTTGTTTTCATTTGGGTTTTTTCCTCTCAGGTGAATTTCTTAGTGTAATAAATGAAATGAAATGTAGCTTGGCTTGTCACATTGATGATAGATGATGATGATAATGACGGTGATGAAACTTCTAGTCTGAAATAGAGTTTGGTGGGGGATTTGAGTGTTTATGTTAGCAATGGCTGGAAGATTCAAGGATTCATTAACTCATCTGTCAGAAAGTTTTTATTACGTGTCTACCATGTGCCAGGCACTCTTTTTATGTGTATAGGACACTTGATGAACAATTTTTTCCCCAGGAAACTTACCTACTACAAAATAAGTATGCAAATGAGTGAGCTAATTTTGGAGAATGAATGCTGTGAAGTAAATCAGATGGACAGAAAAATGGGGGACCTGAGAGAATATTGGGCAAGGAGATCATCTGAAGTAATGACATTTGAGGTGAAATGAGATAGAATGATGGGCAGAAGCTGGCAGTGCCCAAGTCTGGGTGGAGGGGACAGCAAGCACAAAGACTCTGAAATAGGTATAAGCTTGGCATGTGGAGAACAGAGGAGACCAGTGTGGCCAAAGTGGCACGAAAGGGTGTCTTGAGCAGGAGGCGGGGAGTAGGCCAGGTGGTACTTGCAGACTTCAATCTGGACATTGTTTTCTTGCAGTTAATGGCTACTGAGGAAGTCAAATTCAAGTAGTCAGTGTTTGTTGGTTTCTGCATGTTTATGCAATTTGGAATCCGATCCCAAGCGCTCTGATTAGAGGTCCCTGCAACATGGAGCAGAATATTGAACAACCTCAGGGCATCCGTCCTATCATTCTGCTATAGAGTCAAGGTCACAGACATTTTTGTTCAGACCACAAACAAAGTGTGGTTTTGTTTTTTAGATTTTTTTTTTTGGGGGGGCCCAATTATTGTTACCAGAGGAGTATAGTTTCCGTAAGGTGGCGCTTTGAGACCATGGACACCACACCATTCTCTTGCGTGCCACCTGCCTGAGCCTTGTGTACATTTGAGTTTTGAGCTTAGAGATCAAGTGTTTTATATTGGCTTTTGAAGGAGCCAAGCATCTCGCATGTGGGCAAATTCTTAGTCCAGTTGTTTTAGTTCATCATGTGAGTTTCAAAAGACTTACTAAAATAAGCAGTGTTGACAGGCTGTAACTCCAGACGGAGTGGCCAGTTCCATAGCTTTGCAGAGTTCTTCTGGGCATTTGCAGATGAATCCCTTCGCTGAAATAGAATAATTGTTATCTGTAGTAGAAACAGTTGTCCCTGTAAAATACTGCAAAGTAAAAAAAGCAAAGCGCTTCCAAGTGCAGAGGAGATGAGACTTGGATGTTCGAGGAAGTGAGTTGTCAGAAAGTGGAAATATATTTGACTGCTCCTGCCTATACTGCTTCCTTCTGTCTGAAATCCTGAGACATACCCTGCTGTGTTACTCATTTGGCACTGAATTATGTCCTGCTATTTACTTTGATCATATTATGTGTAGGCTTTCTCTCTCCCTGAAAACAAGCCCCTGTAGGGAGGAGTGAGCTGGTGTTCAGTTTGCTGCTGTTTGTGCTATTAACACATAACAAGCAGTTACTATGTAACAGGTCTTATGGTGAGCACTGCATCTGAATTGTCTCAATTAGTCCTCAAGGTAGGCCCTAGGATCTGTGTCCTGTTAATTTTCCTACTCAATAGTTGATAAAACTCAGTCTCAGTGAATGCTTCCATTATCACATTGCTGCAAAGTCAAAGATTTCAGCAAGGTCTAACTTAAAAGTTTGTAATAGTTGTCACTGATTAAGTGTCTATGATGGGCTACAAAGATACTCTTCTATGCATTTCTCATATATTAGTTCATAATAACTTAAGAAATAGATGCTATTTTATTTTATTGAGAAACTAAAACTCAAGAGGTTGAATAATACGTGGAACTGTAAAGCGTGGTCTTCATGTATTAGATTTTGACCAAGTATAGTTCATATAACATTTTGTGCATCATCATCAACTAATGAATTCTTGATGAATTGGGTTAGCTATACACACACACAACACACACACACACAAACCTTTTTACAAACTTTTGAACTCAAGAGAACACATACTATGAAACTTATCTGCCTGAATCAGAACTATAGTCTGTTTGGACTTAGTTCTGATTAGATACTTGAGTCTCATGTTCTCTTTCTTAACAGATGTTTGCCACCTGCTTCTTTCCCTAGATGCCATCAACTTTTTGTATGCTTGTTGATTTTGAGCATTGCTGGTTAGACCCTTTTCTCTTTTTTCTTTTTCTTTTGCAAAATGTTTTGAGCAATTATTTTGCCTGCCATCCCCCTTAAGAGGGGGGAGTGTGGTGGAAAGTGAACTGGAACCATCACATGGGGGCTGTGGTCAGAAGTAGCCTGTGACAGGATCGCAGAATAAGTAATGACTTGTCTTTGACCTTCCCCCATCACGGCCAGATATCTACTTGGGGCTCTGCGACTTTGTTTTCCCCTACCCACAAAAGTATCCTAGCAGCTGATTAACTGTGCAGGGGGATTGCATTTGAGCAATCCCAGAACCTGAAATTTACACAATGATTTGTGGCTTTGGAACTCACATATATCTGGGAGTTAATCTAAGGGAGGAAGGACTTCAGCCTCAACCTGATCCAGCAAATGGTAGTTGATACTTGTGATTCCCTAGAGGTTCTCTGATTCCAGATGGCCAGCAATGGGGTATTTTTATTTCTCTGCCTCTGTATGAACTATTGAGAGGCTGGCCCTTCCGCACTCAGTAGACCTTTCAGCTTTTCGCACATGTTGGTAGGAACCATTTAATGAATGGCATTATGTGTCAAAAATCGTAGCTATTTGCTCTAGTTTTTAGCCCATGTTTAAACCGGTCTTTCACTTTTTTCTAGATTTATTGAGGTATGATTGCAAATAAAGTTTGTATATATTTAGGCTGTACATTGTAATTATTCTTAAGGTATATAGTGTTATTATTTCACTTATGTATCTATTGTTAAATATTACTGTAATCAAGTTAATCAACACATCCGTCACTTCAGGTGGCAGTTACCTTTTTTTTTTTTTTTTTTTGGTGAGAATGATAAGATCTACTCTCTTCACAAATTTCAAGTATACCATACAGAATTATTAACTGTGCCACCATGCTGTACATTAGATCCTCAGAATTTATAATGGAAAGTTTGTACCTTTTGACCAACATCTTCCCATTTTCCATGTCTCCCAAACCCAGCCTCTAACAACTACCATTCTATGCTCTGTTTATATGAATTTTCTATTTCTATTTTTTAGAATCCACATAAGGTATACCATACAGTATTGGTCTTTCTGTTTCTTGCTTATTTTAATTAGCATAATACCCTCAATGTTCGCCCATGTTTTTACAAATGGCTGGCTTTTCTTCTGTTTTTTTTTTTTTTTTTAAATACCTGAATCATAATGCAGAGTGTATATATACCCCGTTTTCTTTATCCGTTCACCTGTGGATGGATACTTGGGTTTTTTCCATATCTTGGCTGCGATGAATGATGCTATAATGAACTTGGGGTTGCAGAGCTCACCTTGAGATACTGATTTCATTCATTTCCTTTGGACATATAATGAGAAGTGGAATTGCTGGATTGCATGGCAGAACTATTTTTAATTTCTTGAGGAACCTCCATATTGGCCACACCATTTTATAATCGCACAGTGTGCAAGATTTCCCTTTTCTCCACACCCTTGCCAGCATTTGTATCTTTCATGCATTTGATATTAGCCATTCTAAAAGGTACAAGATGACATTTCATTGTGTTTTGATTCATATTTCCTTGATATAATGATATTGAGCATCTTTGTTTTTTTAATACCTTTGGTTATAGGTTGGTTTTTTTAAGCTAAGCCACACATTTTTACTTACTGATTTTTGCTCCAGTTTTGAGCATTTTACCTTTTAGGAATTGAGTGTTTCTTTTACCTCAGATAACAAGTGACTTAATTAAATGTTTCATTTTTTTTTTCTCTCAACACTGTTCATTTTTGATTCCTTACATTCAACAATGGAAATTAGTCTGTTTTTTTTTCTTTTTAATATTTTAAATGTATAATATAATTTAGAAAAATTATACAGCTCAAAATGTGCAGCTCAGTGATTTTCACAAATACATTTCTCACATATGTAGCTAGCACCCTGGAAGCTCCCTTGTGGCCCCCTTTGGTAACTATCCTACCAAAGAGCAAATATTACCCAGACTTCTAACGTCATAGGCTATTTTTGTGGCCTCTTTTTGGTCTTTATGTAAATGGAATTATACAGAATGCACTTTCTGTGTGTCTGCCTTCTTTCATTCTCTGTAATGTTTATGAGATTCACTATTATCGTTGCTGTAGTTGTAGGTGGTTCGTTTTCTTTGCCTTCCATTCCATTCAGTCATACCCTTGATAAAATGTCCACTGATGGACATTGGTTAGTTTCCAGTTTTATAAGTAGAGATTTTATTAATATTTGCATACTATCTCTTAGTGCACATGTGTATACCTTTCTTTTGGGCATACATGGGTTATAGAGTTACACATGATTGTGTCTGATAGATGATAACAACTTTTCTAAATGGTTGTGCCGTTTTACATGCCTGCGAGCATAAATTGACAGTGTTAAGATGTTTAACATCCTCATCAATATTTGGTATTGTTTACAAGGTAAATGTATTATCTTGTGGATTTGTTTACATTTCCCTGGCAACCGTTGGAGTAGAGCACATTTTCATATCTTTATTGGCAACTTGAATATGCTCCTGTGAAGTGCCTGTTCACCTATTTTGCCCATTTTTCTATTAGGTTGTCTATCTTTTCTTTATTGAATTGTAGGCTGTATGTATCTATAGATAGTAAATATAAATATGTAGATATTTATATAGATATGCAAGTCCTATGTCTGAAATTACAAGTATCTCCTTCTCATTCTTTACATTCCCATTGTATTTTCTAATAGATGTCTTTTGTGAACAGAGATGTTTTTAACTTTAATACAGATGATTTTGTAAAAAAAAAAAAAATTACCTTATGATGAATGTTTTCTTGGCCCTGTTTAAGAAATATTTTCCTGCTCCAAAATTGAAAGATGTTCTCCTACATTTTCATCTAAAAGTTCGCTGTTTTATGCATTCATTTATTTTAACTTTCGCATGTCATCTGCAGTTTATCATCTGACATTGATTTTGTGAGTAGTGTGAAGTAGGGGTTCACACTATTCACTATTGAAGATTCTTTATCTTCCCTGCATGGATTTGTAATTGACTCAGAAAAAAACTGTTTCAAAAAACAATCTGCATTGTTTTGTTGTTATTGCTTTTAATGGGATAAAAGGAAACTGCTAGAAATGAATGATTGAATGATATAAAATATGGTCTTTTATACATTTTGAAATAATTCTTTTTCTCTCTTTTCAAGATTGAAGAGGCCAAATGTCATAATTCAGAATTTGAGGGAGACATGGAGGTCAGTAAATTCAACTTAAGCTATTTGGGTTTAAACTCATAAGGCAATTAGGGGTGTGGCAAGATGAACATAGCTTAAATTTGAACTGCTCTCAGGAAAACAAACTACTTTGCTATGTAGGTTATTGCCAACTTTTAATCCAGGAGTTAAAATCAGATAATTTAGATTGCAGTACAAGTCTTACTCATACACAAAATGTGGACAATAATTATATTAGGATTCAGAAGCAGAGAATGAGAATAGACTGGTAATATTCTTTGTGTATTTTTAATTTTATGTCAAGGAAACAATTTGCTTCATGATCCCTGGTGTTCTTCAGAATACTTTTCATACAGTCAGAGTAAGAGTCAAAACAAATAAGTTATGCTATGAAGATGACCTCTTCTGGAGTAATTGGAGTGAAGTGAAGAGCATTGGTAAGAGAAAAGGGTTCCGTTAAAATTCAATGCATGGAAACGAAACTGATGCAGAAAATATATGGGAGGAAAGTACTGTTCTGTATTCTTGATGTCAATTACAGAATACTCACAATCGAAATTTCTATTTAATTACTGTCAAATCAACCAGGGTCAATTTACAGTATTCAGCTCTTTGAAAATCTATAATCCAAATAGTGTTATCCTCTTCTATACTGTCTATGTCTTTATGAACAATCTTAATGTCTGATCTGGGGGTAGGGGGTGAAAGTGGGGGGAGAAGGCGCCAAATGGACCATGGTAGAGGATTGTTGGTGCATGAGTGGTGGACAGGGTGTGAAAGTATGTATTTGTAGAAGTTTGTATTTTAATCCTTGGAGCAGATATGAAGATGTAAGTATACTTTAACCTCAATAAACATAATATGGGAAAAAAGAGAGAAGACTGCCATGATTAAATTTGCAGATTGCTGTGTGCTGGTCCAGAATCAAGAGTATTACAGTGACCTGGATGGCATTTAATGACAACAACCTGCCTCAGTTTCATTCATTAACCGAGATTCTGAATAAGCTTTTATCAGTCTCAAGAACAAAACTGTAAAATCTGTGCTTTATGAATGTGTATGGATGGGTTCTATTTGACTAAGTCAAAGTGACTGAATACTGAAACCTTAAATATCCCCAAAAGGCATTTGCAGTCTTTGGCAACGGTGATAATGCAGCACATGGAACAAAGGCGTGCTGTGGGGTGCTTCACAGTGGTCTGGCTACATCAGAAGTGTGAGGCATTCCATTCTGGGAACCATTGCCACATTGGAATCATTCCTTGAAAGAGTAACAGGATATTGAAGAATCTTAAATTTTAGGGAGGAACAGTTGATGAAGTAAGCCGAGGGAATCATAATTGCTGAATTCTAATATTTGTGATAGTGTCAGAAGGAATAGACTATCCTTTCTGTGAGTCCATAGAACTTTCTAACAGCTGTCAAACAGTCAGAGAGATGGGCTGTTCAGGTAGACAATTTCTTATTAATTAAGAGGGTGCATAAACTGTGTCCCAGGTATGATTATATTCATTACCTATTGTTGCATTACAAATTACTCCAAAATTTAGTGACTTAAAAAATACACTGAACATCTCACAGTTTCTATTGATGAGGATTCTGGGCATAGTTTAGCTAGGAAACTGGTTCAAGTTCTCTGATGAGATTACAGGCAAGTTTTCAACTGGAATGGCAGTCTCACCTGAAGGCTTGACTACGACTGGAGAATCCACTTCCAGGCTCATTGGTATGGTTAAAAAGCCTTAATTCCACTCTGGCTGCTGGAAGAAGTCTGTAGCAGGTTGACTCACAGCCCCCCACAAGACATGTTCAAGCCCCAACCCCAGGTCCCTATGAATGTGACCTTATGTGGAAATAAGAGTTTCGGGTGTAATCAAGTTATGATAAGGCCATCGGGCTTAGAGTAGGGTCTCCTTCCAGCGACTAGTATTCTAACAAGAAGAATAGAGGATATATAGAAACACAGAGACCCACAGACACATGGGGTGGAAGACACCGGTAGAGATTGGAGATGCAGCTGCAAAGTAAGGAATACCACAGATTTCTGCAACCCATTGGAAATGAGGAAGGGCAAGGAGAGGCTCTCTGGAGCTTTCTGGGGGATCATGTCCATGCAGATACCTTGATTTTGGACTTTTAACCTCCAGGACTGTGGGAGTTTACTTTTCTGTTGTTTTAAACCAACTTGTGTATGGTAATTTGTTTCAACTGCTCTAGGAAACTAATTCAGAGACCTCCCTCTGTTCCTTGCCACCTTGGTTCTCCCGACAGGGCTGCCGCAGGACATGGCAGCTGACTTCTCCAAGTGAGAGGCACCTAAGCAAGAAAGAGTGATTGAGAGAACCTGTATATGGAAGCCACAGTCTTGTATAACCTAATCTCAGAAAGGAAATCTCCTCACGGCTGCTCTTCAGGTCTTTACAAATGAGTCAGTTAGTTTCAAAGAGAGGAGATTACATTAGAGGATGAATACCAGGAGCCAGGAATCGTTTGGGATCACCTTAGAAGTTGCCTAACACTGCAACTAGGCCCTGATGATACATGCTTTCTAGATGTTTCTACCATAGTGGGAATGATGAGTACAAATAGATGTAGGACATTCTTTGCATTGGGTGTAACCATTCAGTTAAGGACCCCTTTTCAGATTGGACAGTGCTGCATTTGAGGCTTGATTCCATCACTTGTTAAATGCTTCTGGATAAGTCACTAAGCCTCTCTGAGCCTTATGTTTCTCGTCTGTATATGGGAGATATAATTTTCTATTTCTATGGCATAGATATAAACATGCAAAAGCAGACGGTAATGTATTATCCATATAGTAGCTGCTTGATTAAGAGTAATAGTGGTAGTAGTGATCACCAGTTTTCAAAGACTGGTAAGTGACCAGTAAGAAAAGATGGTGACTCTTAATGAGCTGACATGTTTAACAGTTATAACATCTTTGTTGAGAGTATTTGAAAGTAGTTAGCATATCCCAATTTCAGATAACCCTTAATCTATATTCTTATCCTTGCCATTTTAGGCACCAAAACAGGACTTTTTTTTTCACTATTAAGATAACAAAGGATAAGATCATTGAGAATTTTGGAAAATCATTTACGATAGAGAGCAGAAATATCTGTGGTCTCACTAGTCTCATATAACAATTGCTTAGTTTCTTTTTTAAAAAGATTTATTTATTTATGCATACAGAACTGGGATACAGGCCAAAGGTGCAGGGTGGTGAGAGGATTCACCAGACAGTGGGGAGCAGAACAGGCAGATCTACGAAGTGCACTGCTGAGGGGAGCAGTGGATGGGTCAGGAGAGGTCTGCAGGGCCACGTGGATCACCTCTATGACCGGGGATCAAACTCGCACTGCAGTGGCTGTGGCCAGCTTGCAGTGCTGCCTCCTAACTCGTTGCACCACCAGGGAGGACCCTGCTTGGTTTATTTCTAAAAAGGCTTGATTTCTCATGTCTTTCTATTTGATTCTCATTTGCCAGGTACAAAGACCAATTCCACACTATACATAGCCATGTTACTCACCATTCCAGTCATCGTTGCAGGTGCAATCATTGTCCTTCTGCTTTATCTGAAAAGGTAAGGAGCTGCTCAGGCAGGCTTCCCGGGCTCAGCTGGCCTGCTTGCTGGGGTATTATTCTTTGTGCTGGCCTTTAACCTATTCCCAGTGTATGAGAAACATTGACCAATAAGTGGTTTGGTGGTATGGCAAGGCAGAGAAGTAATGTTATCTGGCAGGGGAAGTGTTGGATTCGTTGCCCACTGCTCTCCTGAGGCACTGCTCTCTTTGCATATGTCTAGATTGTTGATAGGCCCTATGGTCAGTCTTCTTTCAGATGGAATGAGGTTTTAGAAGTGAAGACCCTTAGTCATGAAGTGACTTCTCTAGTATCAATGCAAAACACATTGCTTTTTAAGGCTATAGGAAAGAGGATTTCAAGCTGTCTCTTCTAGAGGGTACACGTTCCTTGGGAATATTTTGCTTTATCTCACCACAGGACCTTCTTTGATGCTTTTATTTGCTCTTGCAGTAAATATCTAAAGTTGGAATAAGATTATTAAGCCGAGTCCAGAACCAATTTTTTTTTATTTCTATATTTGTTCAACACGTGTTTATTGTGTACTGTTTATATGCCAGGCACTATTCTAATAGTGGGGCTACCACAGTGCCCAGGACAAAGCCACTATCTCTGTCCTAAATAATTAATACTGTGATTTCACACAGTGAGTAGTAAAGTTGAGGAGAATAGGAGGATGAGAATTGAGCAGGAAGCTTAGTAAGTGATCAGCTCAATTTATGTAGGACGGTCAGGGACCATCTCTGAGAAAGTGACATTTGAGGAGAGACTCACAGTAAAATAGTGAGTCATTCAGATATTTGAAGAAAGAACATTCAGGCCAAGGGAAAAGCAGGTGAAAAGTCCCCATAGCTGGTGTGAGCTTTGCGGCTCATGTTGGAGTAGCGTGTGAAAGCTGGGGAGTGACAGGCAATGAGTCAGGACAGGTGGATGGGACCGCATCATGCAAGCCATGGCAGGAAATCGAAGTTTTATCATAAGCACGATGATACTGGAGATAAGCACGGGAAGTACTGGAGAGTTTTATGCAGGGAAGGGATGTAATTTACTGTCTTTTAAAGATTTATTTTATTTATGCATCTAAGAACCAGAGGCCAGAGTTGTGTGTGTGTGTGGGGGGGGTTTGCGGTGTGGGGGTGAGAGCAATGAGAGGATTCACCAGGGACAGAGTGGGGAGCAGAAAAGGCAGATGGACTGAAATACACTGCAATGGGGAGCAGCGGGAGAGACAGGAGTGGTCTGCTGCGCCATGTGGGTCACCGCTGTGGCTGAGGATCGAACTTATGCTCAGTGGCAGTGGGCAGCTTTATTCATAGTTCTGCGACTTAACCCCTTGCGTCACCAGGGAGGTCCCTGTGATTTATTGTTTTAAAAAATCACTGGAGTTGCTGAGTGAAGAATTGACTTGGGTAAGAATGAAAGCAGGTAGATGAAGTAGGAGGCACTGTGGTGTTTGGGGGCAACGATGCGGGGAACGTGAGCTAGCTTGTTAGCAGTGGAGGTAGGAAGAAGTGATGAACTGTGGAATATATTTTGACAGTAAAATGAGTGGCTCCTTATGTGGCACTGTGGGCAAAACTAAAGATTCAAGGATAGCTCAGATTTTTAGATTCTGCAACTGAGGTAATGCTGGGGCCAGTGACAGCAATGGAGAAGATTGTGAGATGAGCTGGCTTTGGGGAAAAGTGAGCACTTTAATTTTGAATATGATAAGTTGGAGATGCCTGTCAGATATCCTGGTAGAGATGCTATCTAGGTAGCTGTGTACATGCATCTGGAGTGGAAAGGAGAGGTCTGGGCTGGAGAAAGGGTTTTGAGAGTCCCCACCTGTGAATGCATTAAAAGCCTGAATCTGATAGCATGTGCTCATAAAGTGAGGGAGATAAGACTGAGGCACACCAGTGTTTAAATCCTGAAAGATTAGGTAGGTCCGTCCATCAAAGGCTCCATCGTGAAGAACAAAAAAGAAACATACCTAGTTCTTGGAAGATTTTATTTTTTCAAAATGATAAACAGTAAGCTCTATTATAAGTAAAGCATCTAAAAATAAAAATAAATTAAGAAAACTCCAGTTCTTCAAATGACTATTTCCAAAGTGTTAAAGTACAGTTTAAAGAAATAAACACGTTCAATCACATTGTTCTCACTTAATTTTTATTTATGCATACAGAATTGGGGTATAGGCCAGAGATGCAGGGGGTGAGAGGATCCATCAGAGACAGAGTGGGGAGCAGAACAGGCAGATTGATGAAATACACTGCTGAGGGGAGCAGTGGGTAGGTCAGGAGAGGTCTGCCTCGCCATGTGGGTCAGCTCCCTGGCTGGGGGTCGAACACATGTTGCAGTGGCTGCGATAGCTTCATAGTGCTGTGCTTTAACCTATTGCACCACCAGGGAGGGCCCGTTCTCATTCAATTTCAAAACAACTTTTGGGAGCACAAAAAAGTTCATTACTATTAATATTTTCCCTTTGTTATTGTCTTCAAAAACAAAAAAGTAAAGCACCATTATTATTTAAACGATACGGTATCACACACACCCCCGTAAGTATGGGAAGGGGTGGATGTGTTCATTGACTTGATTGTGGTGATCATTTCACAGTGGATACATATATAAAAACATCACTGTATGCCATAAATTTATACAGCTGCTTTTCTAGAAAAAAATTAAATGGCAGAGTATAGTCTGTCTTGTTGGCTCCCTTTGCTGCACCCGCACTTGATGCTCACAGGGCATCAGTTTCTCAGCTTGTTTTAGAAATGTCTTCACAGCTTGCTTCATCAGTAAAAATGGCTCATGTGTCTTGTCTTGCCCAAGCTTCCTTTAAATATGACTAGATTTAAGGAGGAGGCTCCTGTGGGCTAGAAGATTGATTAAAATTATCTCTATTTTCTTGCAGGCTTAAGATCATTATATTCCCTCCAATTCCTGATCCTGGCAAGATTTTTAAAGAAATGTTTGGAGACCAGAATGATGATACCCTGGTGAGTACTGACTCCAGGGGGTTCAAAACTGGTTTGGTTTGTGGGGAGACTATGGGACTTTTAGAAATATTGGCAAAATACATGTAACAGAAATTTTACCATTTAAGTGTACAGTTCAATGGCTTTAAGTACTTTTATAATGTTGTGCAGTCATATCACTGTTTCTGGAACTTTTCATCATCCCTAGCAGAAACTATGTCCACAAAACAATGAATTCCCATACTCCCATACCTATAGCCCCTGGTAGCCTGTCTCCAATTCTCTGTCTCTGTCAATTTGCCTATTCCAGGTATCTCATAAAAGTGGAATCATACTATATTCATCCTTTTGTCTCTCGCTTTCACTTAGCATAATGTTTTGAAGGGTCATCCATGTTGTAGCATGGAGCAGAATTTAATTTCAAAGTTAGCCATTTTAAAATAGTTTATTTAAAAGATTCAGGAAGAGGTGCTTTAAAATGTTGTCGTCAGATCAAGCACACCATTGAAGCAGTCCTAGAATACTTTCCCCACCTTGTCTCGCGGGGCTTCCTTCTCTCTCTGGGGTAGGAAACATATTTATTTCACACACAGGCATGGGAACAGGAGCTGCCTTCATGGAATGGGCTCATCAGGCAGAGCTTCTGACTTGTGGATAATTTTTAGATTTTTTATTTGGGGAAATGTAAAGATAGGTTAAATAATTGCAATAGATTTTGTTTGTGCAATTGCCTGGAAAGCTGGCCATGGAAGGAGAGCAAAGACATCCCAGCTGTTAGAGCTAGTTTGCTGAGACTCTCACACTGGCATTTGTGCCTGGAAAATAGATTTGATGGGACCAAAAGTGTTTGAGGTGTTGTGATAAATACATTCACACAAATAAAATATTTGACTCTAAGTGAAATAAATACAAATATTACTGTGTATATTATAAAATTCGTAAAAAAAAAAAAAAGATGTAACAGGGCAGCTCATTTAGGAAAGTAGCACAACATAGTAGATAATGGCCTGGCTCTGGAGTCAGATTGTCTGGATTCAGATCTCTGTGTCGTTTACCGTGTGTTTGACCTGAGGTAACTTTCTGCTCGCTCTGTGCCTCAGTTTCCCCTTTTGTAAAGTGGATATAATGATAACCATGGCCTCATAGTTTTGTTATTTGGTTTAACACCAGAAAAAACCACTTAGCATGCTAGCACTATTGATTTGTGTATTTATTTTGAATTGAGGTGATACTGGTTTACAATGCTGTTTGTGATTTACAAGTATAGGGTCTTCCCCCTTCAGGTGTTGTCACCACACCACTCCCACCACCAAAGCATCTGTGGGCCTCCACCATAGTCCATTGTACTCCTTCCCCTACCCCCTCCATAAGCTTCCACTCTACAGTCAGCTTTCTAGTGTTTGTATGGGGCTACTTCTTCAATAAGCCATGATCACAGACAGTGATAACTCGGCCAGAGCTTGTGGGGTAGGGTTCACTAGGCAGGTAGGTCCAGAAGTCGGGTGCCTGGTGTAAACATAGCTGTGACTAAGGTGAATGTGGCCCTCATGGCTCCTCAAGTTCAGTTGAGTCACACTCAGCTGGAATGCATGTAAGAATGTAGATTCCTAGAGCCTGCTTCCAAAAATTCTAATTCAGCAGGACTGGGATGAGCTTCAGGAACCTGTGTACTTAAGGAGCCCACAGATATTTCCTATCTTGAGGAGCACACTTTGCAATAACTACTTTAGAAATTTTCTTAGGATTACCCCATCTCTTTCTTCATTTCACCAGCTACTGCAGTGGATGTTGGTCACTGTAAATTGCGCAATCTACCAATAATTAATCAGTTATTGCCTATGTGCATAGGCAATATTTGAGTGTTTGTTTCTGGTCCCTTATTGAATCCTCACAACCACTCTGTGTTAGTACCATTGTGTAGTTGAGGAAATGCAGCCTCAGTGTAGTTCAGAAACTTTACTGTGGTCACATAGCTAGTGGGCAGTAAGGTGGGATTTGACCCACCACTGTAATTTCAGAGTTTCTCTCTCTCCACTACGCTACATTGCCCCTTATAAGACAGAATGTCCTCAAGAACCTCACCACTGTCTCAGAGTTCTGTATGATACAAGTAGAAGGTTTGCATAGAAGAGTGCTGAGAAAAACATTTGAAGTCACATCATGGCTTATCTGGAGAAGAATCAAGAATATTATTGGGATAGTCAGCTTGAGGGAATCGACTAGAGAGGGAAGCATCCGCCTGGTCACAGAGTGGGAACCTAGTCCTGAATTTGTCCCATAGAGATTTTGTTTGGTCAGAGTGCTGTATTTAGAAGTTTCCCATTTGAAATATTAAGCAGGACACGACACAATCCAAATCATCTCAGTCCCTAAAATACGGTTTCACACGCTGACCTGATTTGCCAGACTCCTGAAAGACCATTGAGTTTGCTATCCTCTTAGCAGAATGAAGACTAGTCAGAATACTATGAGAGAAATCTGTGAAAACACATTCGGACTCATTAAGAGATTTAAGACATGCCAATCAAAGCATTAATGAAGTACACATCTTCAAGCAAATAAATTTCTCAGCAGTAAGAGTCCAGTGGTACCAAGTAGGCCTGTAAAATGATGTATATCCTTTCTGGAAGGCAACTGGGTAAAATGTAACAAAAGCCTTTGACCCTATAAATTACACTTTTAGGAAATTATTTTAAGGAAAAAATCCAGCAATGGCACAAGAATGACTAATGCAACATTTGTTTCTATGTGAAAAATTAGAAACTAAAGAAACAACAAACAAGATGCTAGTTTTTAGAAAGTTGAGTTTTTAAATCATTTGATATTAAGACAAATATTTCATGATAGGAAAATGAAAAATATATAGTATATTACAATCCTGATTTTCTAAAAATGCATTAATGCATACATAGCACTGCAAAGGGAAGGAAATGGGTGAAAATGATCATCTGTGAGCACAGGGATTATGGAGAGTTGATGCTCTCTACCTTGCTGAAAAGTCTCCAGATTGCCTTTAACAAGCATGTATTACTTCGATAATGAAAAGAAACCCCATACAAGTCATTAAGGGAAAAGAGAATCCTGTAGACATACAGGTCTGAGAGATAGTTAGGAACTTGAACATAGGTGGTAGCACAGATTGATGCAAGAGACATTATTAAAGGAAACTCATTAGGACTTGGTGACTCTGTGGGCAGTGAAAGGTGGAGGAGTCAAAAATAAGCTCAAGATTTCAAGCCTGCGTGATAGCGTGAATGATGGTGATATTGGCAGCAAAATCAGATCAATTATCTTTCTCACAGATGGGGAAATTGCTTTTTTCCAATTTGCTGTCTAGAGGATAATAGGTTGTCCCGATGAGTCAGATAATTCTATAATTTAGCGAGGTGGATATACTGAGAAGATGGACCACTAAACGTATTAAATGTTTTTGTTTGTGTTGGCTGCAGGCCATTAAATAAAATCAGTCTTCAAAACTGAAACTTTAATAAAATGCCAGACAGGGGAAAGGGTAATAGAACAAATTTTCAAGTTTGCTTTAAAAAAAAAAAAAAAAACAATTTATTTATGCATCCAGAACCTGGGGTACAAGCCAGAGGTGCAAGTGGGGTAAGAGGTTTCACCAGAGGCAGAGTGAGGAGCAGAGCAGGCAGATTGACGAAGTACACTGCAGAGGGGAGCAGCAGGCGGGTCAGGAGAGGTCTGCCTCACCATGTGGTCACCTCCGGGGCAGGCGGGAATAGAACTCATGCGGAAGTGGCTTTAGCTTCTCAGTGCTATGCTTTAACTCGCTGCGCCACCAGGGAGGGCCCCTCAAGTTTGTTTTTTAGCCAAATGAATAATCTGCTTTCTGTACATGGCAACCACCCTCACAAGTTAAAGTATGAATGCAGCAGCAAGACTCACCTTTTACTTCTAGATCATGAAATTATCAAATAAACATGACCCCAGAAGTCATCTAATGAGATGGATGCTTCCATGTTTATTTTATGTTTAATTGTAAATTTTCAAAATTCTAGATTCTAGTGTTGCCTCCTCACTAGAGAGAGATGGGGACACTGGGGGCCAGAGAGAAATTTCTCAATGACAGTCACATAGAGAAGTAATTGTATTGCCCGGACCACAACACATTGTAGCTCATTTACTGCCTCCTAATCCAAAGACATCATCCATACCCGCTTAAATGCTTACTTCTGACACACTGCGCCATCAGTAGTGGTTCTTTAAAAAAAAAAAAAAAACGTATTGAGGTGTGGCCACTAACAAATTAATCTTCTGTATAGTTTTCCTTAAGGTTTCTAGTGTTTTGACACTGTTTTGTTCATCGCTGTAGTAACATTTTGGCCAACAGCGTATCCTCCTGCCGCTTTGCTGTTTGCCTCTTCTTCGTGACTAATTGGGCTGCTGGCCATGCTGGTGGTGGTGTTGGCGGGGAGCAGTACAGCGGGAATTGCTTCTCCTCTGCATCTGCATTTCTTTTCCATCCATAAAGAGTCACTCCCTCTTCCTTCAATTCTTGGAATCCAGTTACATTTTCTATACTGTGCCAATTTTGCATTCCTGATTGGAAAGTAGTTTTTTAAATTGGAAGTGAACTCCAAAAACCGCCGAATCCAACCCCCCCCCATTATGTAATTTTGTGAACTTCAGTTTGTATTTTTAAAAACTAAGAATGTTCTCCTACATAGCCAAAATAGCATGACTTTAAAAACTATCATTTTTAAATTAATATATTTTTCACACGCACCGTTGTTTTTGTACAGTATCTGACCTCTCCCCTCAGATATGGTCCCATAGTTCTCCAGAAAGCACAGTGTCCGTGATCCATGGCCACCACCCTTGTGCTCCTCTGGCCTGATTTGTCCGCTTCCCTCCCCTCCCGTGCTGAATGCCTCAGATCTCTAAAAGTATTCATTTCTTAATATCTTCACACACCATCCCATATTTGGAGCACTCCAGCTGTCCTAATTGTCAGGAGACAGATACTCTCTTTCCTGTTGTCCCATCTCCTAGTGAGGCTG